CTTGACTATACTAAAAAGGGCATTTGAAACTAGGGCCGCTTTAGCACTGACCATCTCGATGTGCCTTGTCCACTGAAGTTGCTGTTCAAAGACCACGCCAAGATAGTTGAACTCAGTCTTCCTTTGGAGACGGTTACCATCAATGTGGATCCTCGGGATTCTCTGTAGAGGAGTGTTCTTAGAGAAGATGATGTATGAAGATTTACTAAAGTTTATGGGGAGCTTCATGCGGTTGCTCCAGTCCGCCACTTTGCTGAAGATGTTGTTACTGAGGACAGGAGTTTCCACTGTTTTTGTTGGAAACCAGGATGATAGTGTCATTGGCGTATCCTTGGACGAGGGCATCATTCAAGCCATTGAGAGTATTTAGGAGATCGTTGTGTGTGCACAACGATCTAAATAGTCCATAGGCCAGGGCCCGAGATGGAGCCCTGTGGGCAGCCTTTGGTGACACGATGAACATAGTTGTATGTGGCAGAGTACATACCCGCCTGGTGATCCTCCAGGAAGCTACTGCAGATCGAGGAAAGATTCCGTGGGCAATGATAAGCCCAGAGCTGCTGGAGGATAGAAGGCCACCATAAATTGTCGAAAGCACCCTGAAAGTCGATAGAGATAAGCAGAGTGTGCTTACCTTCTTCTTTAGCATTTTGTATGTGCTCAACTATGATAGAAAAAGCAGTGATGGTCGACTTACCAGGGGTTAAACCATGTTGGTGCGAACTAAGGTGGTTGTTAGTTCTAAGGTGGCAAAGGATCCTGCTGTTTATCAGCCTGTCAAGGACCTTCCCCAGGATGGGAAAAAGGCTGATAGGTCTGTAGTCCTTAGGATGAGTGGGGGTGTCACCCGGGTGCTTACTAATGAATTTACCGGAGGCGATCTTCCATTGGCTCGGAAAATAACCCAGCGAGAGGCAGCGGTTAAAAATAGTGACAAAAGTAGTTGGGATAGCAGCGAAGGCTTCCCTTACCATTTTCCCCGTGATCCGATCGATTCCTGGTGCTTTTTTGATTTTGACAAGATTAATTGCGTGAACAACTTCGTTAAAAGTGAATGGGGGATCTTCCCGCTTGTCAGGCGGATCTCTGAAACCTGAGCTAGTATTGTGGTGAAATTCACTATCTGTGTCTTCGGTGTCTTCAGGGAAATGGTAGCTGAAAAGCTCCCTCATATTTTCCGGGAGAGTATTCGTGAAGGTGCCATCGCTGGTCATGACCACCGCGGTTGTGTTTGCCTTACCCTTCTTCTTAAAGGCGATATAGTAAGGCTCACACCAGAGTGTGTTGAAGCTGCTGCAGAATTTTCTCCACGCCTGGTGGAGCTTATGCTTGATCAGAGTTTTGTATGAGTTGAATTTCTCGGTGTATTGGCCCTTGTGGGTTGCTCTAGCATGCATGTCTGTCTCTCTAGCTGTATCATGCTCTAGCGTGCATGATACAGCTTACGAAGCTTTTGAACCTCCAGGCGATGGCTTGCTAATTCATTGTCCCACCAGGGGGCTATAGACTTCTTGTTACCTGTGCTTTTGCTTGCCATTTTGTGGCTGTGAAGGATGACCCTGTTCAGTTGAGAAACACAGTTGTCAAGTTCAGTGGTTGTCATATTCGTGATAGGAACATCAATAGTCCAGTTGGTTTTCATCATCTCTTGGAAAAGTGGCCACTAGGTACAGTAGTCCTTTTCGGAAGGCCTGCTGTCGTTCACGTTGATATTGAAGTGTGACACAATGTATCAATAAAAATAATAACTTGTACTGGAACTAAAAAGAATTAATCAAAATTATCACCTTTTTACAAATTCCAGCAAATAATTTAATATCATAAAAACGTTTTCGATCGTGTTTAGCGATCTTCATCAGTTAAAAAGAACATTAAAAATAAAACAAATATCAAATTTACGAAAAAATAATAACTTCGCATGCGTAATGATGAGCGCTTAACGGAATGAATACAAAATGTTAGGGATATTAGACTAAAAGTAAATAAATAAATAAATAAATAAAAATAAAGAGCTCAACAGTTTCTCATTAAAAATTAATGTTTCGTAAAAATTACAGGTTATCTTCATAGAATAATTTCCATGCTGTGGATGCAGAGTGGGCGTCCCTATGATTGATACAAGTAGTTTTCCCTTGTCCTTTACATCTCAAAAAACTGGAGATTTATAAAGCACAAGGGAAAACTACTTGTATCAATCATAGGGATGCCCACTCTCTATCCACAGCATGGAAATCATTCTATGAAGATAACCTGTAATTTTTACGAAACATTAATTTTTAATGAGAAACTGTTGAGCTCTTTATTTTTATTTATTTATTTATTTATTTACTTTTAGTCTAATATCCCTAACGTTTTGTATTCATTCCGTTAAGCGCTCATCATTACGCATGCGCAGTTATTATTTTTTCGTAAATTTGATTTTTGTTTTATTTTTAATGTTCTTTTTAACTGATGAAGATCGCTAAAGACGATCGAAAACGTTTTTATGATATTAAATTATTTGCTGGAATTTGTAAAAAGGTGATAATTTTGATTAACAGGAGAAACACACCGCTCCTCAGGAGCAGTGTCCGTTTGCGGTTGTTGAACTCCGGATCCATAAAAACAGATGCTCAGGAGAAAAGAAGATGATAAAACAAACGGTACCAGTCACGCACCCCTACTAGCAAACGCAAGCGGAAATGGCTGAGAACCAACCGGATTAGGGTCAGTTAGAGGATGAGCGAAAGATCCGAGGAATAACAAGACCGAAAGCGCCACCAGAAAGGGCAAAATAAACCAAAACCAGCGAAAACGCTCGTCGGAAAAGACCCAAAGTAACGGAGTGGCGAGTGATGCAAACGACCGAATTAGGGTCAGGAAGGGGATCAGCAGCAGGAGAAAACGATGACCCTTCACCCTTTGTGCCTCTTCGGCGCGATAATTCGAAAAGTACTGATCCGATTTACACGAAAGTTTAATAGGATAAACAGACTAACCCTTACTATAGACCAACAAGAAAACAGAGCTAATGGCCTAATACGATAGCCAAAATCAGCCAAAAGTCGGCAAGTAACGGTCGTTAAAACTAGCGAAATAATTAACGGAGTTTAATAAATGATATATATATTGAATCGGGGTAGCAAGATAAACACAGCGGTATGATACATAAAAACGTACGACACGAATTTGGCGAGAAGAAAACCGTCCGAAGTTCGACCACGTGGTCTCGGTCAAAAAAAAGCCCGTAACACCCGAAAGTCTGAACCGAATTTAAAATGTCAGACAACGTTCGAAAGCGCATGTCAACAGCAACAAAGTGATATATAGTATACTCACCGATCGTAAAAAAATTCCAAAGATAAGGCAATTTAAAAACGGAGCCTATAAACACATTACATATAGTAGTGGCGACAATGGCGCCCTCTCTTCCACACATCCAGACATTAAAAAATTTTGAATTATATATAGCTCTCTTGATGCAATGTTTTACTTAAACCAGTATATATATACAGATGTCATTTAATATCTAGTTCTACAGCTAAATCTATTGTAATACCTCCATTCCTTTTGTATTGAATAAAAAAGCAAAAAAGTATTTTGTTACTTGTGAAGCATTGGTATTTTTTTAAAACTTTATTTTGTAGAAGAAACATATTTGTAACAAAATAAAGTTCTAACAATCTTCACATGAAAGTTCAGAATGTTCTTCTTTACTCGGAAAATATGGAAAAACATGTTTATTTGCCTGAGGAGTAGCCATAAGGTAAAGTAACGATTTAATTGCTTGTAGAATACTTCTTGTTAGTTTTGTCATACGAATAAATTGCGACGTGTTATGTAGAATAACTTTACAGCTGAATTAAATTAATTAATTTGATTTTGAATAAATTAACAATCGTATATGTTTATTAACCGTTGTTTGACGTTTGCGGTGCATTCGTTTCTATAAGATTGCGTTTCTGACATAAACAGCACATACTACAAAGCGGCACTGAATCAAGTTTCTCGATGGTGACGTCATGCGCAGTGGCATTTTTCTCGCTAGAGCGAGTTGCGTTACCTTATCTCCATATACCTTGGTAATAACCGTCGATACTTATAACGTAAGATTGTATATGCTGGAAGTGGAGATCGAAGCGGTGGCCCGGGTAGCGTAACCGTCTAAGCAGAAGTTTTTTTTCTTCCAGTAGATATAAATCAGTGTTTTTCAACCAGTGGGTTGCGAAGCTTTACACGGGGGGTCACGGGTAAAAGAAAAAGACAAGTGTTTGTAGATCCTACACTACATTAAAAAAAACTACAATTTTAGCGAGAAGGCTGTACCTGTTTATTTTACAGTACAATTGATTTTTTGATCGATATTTAGGTCTTAACCATAAATGTAGCCAAGGAGGGGCCTGGGTGAGTACGGCCTACCCCAGAAAATCATAGCCGAAAAAGTGTTGAGCTGATTTGCAAAAATAAATAAAAAGTAGAAGCTGAAAATCCTAATTCTAAAGAAAGAAAGAAAAAAAAATCAACGGCTCCCTGTGCCCAATGTTATAATTAAAGGAAGTTTCATACTTTATCTGTGTTAAGTTATTATCGATTCCTATGAAATTTTCATTTTAATCAACAATAATTTGTCTCAGCAGAAAGAAAATTAAATACATAGTTTTTAAAATCACTGATATAGTTTTAATATGGCCCTAGGGGTCGCCAGAATTTTTTAACTTGTAAAGGGGTCGTGTATTCAAAAAATTAAAAAACACTGATCTAAATTATTTAAATTTTTTAATTCAAAATTATAATTATTAAAGTTATTAACATATGGCGCCTAACGCCTTCCTCTAGTGCCAAATTATTTGCATAATTTATTTAGTTATATAGGCGTTTCAAGCCGATAGCATTCGACATTGGTTAATGTTTAATTATAATATTAGTTTATAAGAAAACAATATATTGATAACGTTTTAGCAAATTACTAGAAATTATTAAAACTTACAGTAACGAGTACAATTACAGTTGCAGATAATTACCCGTATGTAAGAGATGTTTGGACTACTATAAAATTTAAACAGATTTCCAGTGCCATGATACACGTATGACAATACCATAGCTTGTTCCATTGTTAATTTTGAATGATCGTCTTCAGACAGAGGCCAACCGTCTAAGTTAGCTGCACTTAAAATTTCATGAATTGCCTCTTTTGTGTCACTAACTGTAATTTAAATACAGAATTATTAATTATTCTCATTTAATTAATTTATTTATTCAAAATCAATGTAATACGTACGTTTATTTAAACACGATTGATAATATTTCTTTACTTTTTTGACGAAAGCTGGATCATCGAAATTCTCTGGCTTTTCCAGTTGTTCTGTATTTGCATTTATTACACGTAAATTACTATTCCACTTATTAAAATTACTATTTAAAATAAAATATTACTTGCCTTTTATTAAATAAATGATATAATTTTTTAAAATTGTATGATCGCGAATTTCATCATCATAAATATATTCGTATTTTAGATAAGAACCGCATGAAAATTCGTAAAAGTTGTCGCATGGATTTACGGTGAAGTCCATATTTGTTAGAATGGAACCAGCTGAAATTATCAAGACTTCTCTAAACAAAGTACATCGAGTTTATTAAAATGAAATTTTATTTAATTATAGTTTTTGATTTTGTTTCATTATAATTTGTACAATGTGCTTCATCTATTTTAGTGAATCAAGTTCATATCTATAGCACTTAAATACTTCAGCATTTCTTACGGAAATTGAAGTGAAAACACTAAAACAAAAAATAATTGGCTGTTGGTGGTACATTCACTATTAAATCGATTGACACTGATATTGTCGTATATTTTCTAAATGACACTAAACCAGGGGTCGGCAACCTTTTGAGTCGGAAGAGCCAAAAATTACAATTTACAAAATTTCAAAGTTTTTAAAGAGCCACAAAATTTTTTCTTGCCAACAATAAATAGTACTCGCATAAATAAAGTTTTTTGAAAAAAACTAATCTATTTATTCAAAATTGTCTTGCGTCGAAAGCGAATTAAACCTCATAGAAACATCCGACAACGGCGTCATTCGAGAGCTTCCGACGGATTGACGACAGTGACGACGCGTGTCACGGGGGAGGGGTGCGATAAAAAGTGAGTACAAGTGGCTGAGAGATAGAATCGGTGCCGAATCCTCGTTAATAGATTCAGAACGATTTTTAAGTGTTTTTTTTTATATAATAAATAATATTTGCGTATGGAACTAAAGAGCCGCAGCTTCACATCCAAAGAGCCGCAGCTTCACATCCAAAGAGCCGCAGGTTGCCGACCTCTGCACTAAACTAATAATTAAAAAATAGTAACTTCTTACTTCTTTCTTAAATAGATTTAACTAGTAATTGTGTTAACTGTAACTGTATAAAGTATTTTGAATTGAAAATTTGTTTCAATGTGTAAAATCTTAGTATGAATTGCTTACAAAACATATTTATTTGTTTTCGGTGACCGGTAATTTGGAGTCATGTTTGTCTTGTCTTAGCATAAACGAGAAACAGAAACTGTTAACATCATTTATTACATAATGTTACTAATTCGTTATATAGCTTATTAGAAGAATCTTATCTTCTTGTCTGGTCAATGTGGTATAGAATTTTTGATTTTGAAAATATATATAATACTAATTTAGTAATTAAATAGAAATACATGATCGAAATTCACAATAGCAGAACAAATGATCGCATATTAATAGTATATAAAGAAAAATAAATCTCACCTGAAAATTTGCATACGTTACTTAAGCAAACATCTTTCTTTGATTTTTGAAATATATCTATAAAAAATTAATAATTTTAATAAATAAATAAATATATATAAATTTCTTTTATCTGATACAATTTAATTACACATGAAATAAAAGTGTTTATTTATGATATGAAAATTATGATAGGTGCTACTAAATAATAATTTGTACATGGTTAATTCATTTGTAAAAAAATAATAGCGGTATTATTTAGAGGATTATCATAGAGAAAGATATTCGTAGCGACAGTTTTCCTGTAAAAACAAACGCAGAAATAGTGAAGTAATACAACAGAAGTTCCATATTTGCAAATAGTTATGTTCTGCAAGACTGCAATCGTTAGGATTAAAACATTGATAAAAATGATTAAACGTAAATTTTTAATTATTAAAAATTTACGTTTAATTATTAATTGATAAATTAATAATTAAAAGTAAAAATGCATTTTTATACAAAAATTGTATATTTATTTTATAGTAAAAGGAAATAATAATTATTACATTTTTTGGTAGGAAGCACAAAATTGCTACATACAACTTATCACACAAGAACATTTTTTGACGAATAACATAGACTTTATTCATGAATAACATACGAAATAAAGTCTATATGATTTAAAGAACAAAATCATATTATTACAACTCTGTTATAAAGATTATCAATCAAAAAAACATTTACGTTATTCCGAAAAAAACAAAAGAGGGAACAAGAAGCAATCGAGTACTAATAATGATTACAGTTTGCATCTACTTCATTATTCTCAAAAACGTACAATTTTCGACTCTTTTCCTTTTATTTACTGTATGTATTTAAATTCTTGCGCTCTCTTTTAAACATACACTCTCTCTTAAATTTAAAACATTCGTTTACAAATTTTAAATTATTCAGGCAGCCCATTTTTTCAAACTGTATGAATTTAAACTTAGTTTATTTAACTAATAGCTGGTTAGTTTAAATTTAAATAAATAAGATAAAACATTACTTCTGATTTTCTTATTTTTACAGATAAAACCACTCAAAAGATCATTCTTTCGTGACTTCTTCAATCAAGATCCTAAGGCGTTTCTTATTTTTTCGGTAGTTTGCTCTCTGACAATTTCAATTATTATTCCTTGAGAGAAATATGCTACTTATTTTTTAATTTTTTCCCTTAATGTATGGTTCATTCATTTATAACAAAGGACCGAACAACTATAGCTACTGATTCTGTTCCCTGCAAATTTAGTTTTTCAATTTATTTATGAATGTCATTGATCTCTTTATCAATATCATCTAAAGAAAAACTTTACTTCTAAAGTTTGTTTTAGATGATAGACTATTGTTAATTTCATGGGAAAAAAACAATTATATATGTTTGTAAAACCCAACACTCAAATTAACAATAAATATTGTTTATATTACGATAAAATGCAACGTTTATTATTTACGTCAGTGCTCTTACTAATGTAACTCAAGAAAATATGAAATAAATCTGTATTCACTAGAACTGAATAATAGTTTAAAACACGATTTAGCGTAGAACGCGCATAAGAGAAAAAGCATTTAAAGTGGTTTAACGTTTATTTTTTTATACAGATCTTCTGCTACAATTTGTTTCTTTCTTTATGGAGGTACATAATAAATTGTCTAATACACTATATCTATACAAACAAATATACGTCGTATAATAAATAAAATATCAGTAGAATAATTATGGATGAGATGCTCGACATTCTGCAAATAATGCTTTTAAATTTTAACATTTATATAAAAATGATAAATCTATATACTAAAGCATTGTTTTCCCATGTATTAAGTTTACACTAATATTAGCTCGTCGATAAATATATTACATGTAATTGTAAATAATATTAATGGTTCCACTTTGTTCGTTGTCTCTTCTAATACATTTCGTTTTATACTAACATCAGGAAACAGTCGATTCCGCTTAATTAATTAATTACGACATATCGGGACCTGAGTAATTTGTCCCGATTGAGTGGTTGTCCCAATAAAGCGAATTTTAAGGAAAATCTAAACTGAAAAATGAATTATGAAGATAAAACTCATTTATTAAAAAATAATTAATATTCAGTGTTTTGTACCGTACTTACATTACGGTGCGTATGTGTAAATAAATTCAAGTTTAAAAAGAACTTATTAAAATGTAATTATTAAACAAAAATAAGAACTATTATTTTTGCAAAAATTTATCAAGCGTGCCTACAATGCTATTTCTTTAGAATTTGAAAATGAACAAAATCGGCGCTCACTTCCATCGAAAAACTAAGATCTTCATTTGAATCTTTCATAAAATACCATCTTAGTTCAATAATAAATAATTGATCTTTAATTGTTTTAATTAATAAGATATTCCTAATCAATAAGACTTGATCAGGAGTATCATTTCTTCACTATACTTTATGTTTTAAGTGTTATTCCCAAACAACTTGTTCAATTATTGCATCTATACAATGCTTATTTTCACTGCAACATAGGAGGTTTTTATCACCGTATAAATATTCTTTGTGAAACGCCTAGAAACATCTTAAACCTACTTTCCTCGTTTATATACGAGCGTAAGCTGTCCCAATAAAGCAGCGGGATGTCCTAAATAAACGAAGTAAATTTGCCTTATATTATATTTTTTGTTTCCGTCTTTTAATGTATGTCCCTAATAAGCGGCGGTCCCAATTACCTGGAATGTATCAATACTTTATTCTTTAAATTAGTGTGAGAGTAGCCGGGGTACAACTCGGTTCAGGATTGTTCGTACCACTTAATCGGCACAGATTATCCGAAATCTGTCTCCTAAGTTTCAGATTCCTAGATCTGATCTTAAAACTTTCATAGGAAGGCGGTAGGATTAAAGACTATGAAGTCTCTATCCAAATTGTCAGGTTCCCGACACCAGTTTGTCAATTTATCGATCCGCGGACAAACACGCGTGTGATTGGGTTATAGATCTGATTCAGAGACTCTAAAGGAGACATTCTTTAACAAATAAACAAGTATAAATTTAATTAAACGCAAATCAATAAAATAATACAAATATATGGTAGTAAGAGACAATGACTACAAATTACAACCTATAAGTCGAGAGATATATGGACTAATATTTAACCGATACACGATCGGGAGAGAGAGCTCACAAAATCGTTAGTAAACATACAACCTGTTTTAGTTGTCGTTCGTCTTCTTCTCTGTAGGCAAGGGACACTTTGGAGATAAAGTTCATTTACTTCTTTCCATGGGAGATCGATATGTGCACAAAATCAAAGTATATCTTCTCAGCGCTAACTCTGGAATTATTCTATGTGACTCGTCTAAGGGCGTTGGCCATCAAGAGAAATCTGTGTGGAGTCCTGACTCTTCCAGGTCTGTCGATAAACTCCCCAAATTCTCATAAATTTCCCCAATACCTCGTCATTTACGACCAATCATCTGCCAGAAACTCTTCCATGTGAACGGATGAACGGGGAATCAAAGAGGGGGTAAACAGTTCTCATCTGAGCGAGATTTTTAGCGAATAAGGGAAAAACAGAGGATGTACTAACTTCCCTCGAAGGAAGTAACATCTGTTATCTATTTTTCCCACTCTAAAACGTTATTTTTCTCACCCAAACGAAAGAATATTTTATAACAAAATACTAACATTATTATTATAATTACTATTTTAGACCCGGGGGCCTTTCAGATCTCACATTAGTACTTACTTTGAAAATGTAATAAAACAGCAATCATGACAAGAAAGGCAATAAAAATGACAAGGCACACCAAAATAAGGTAACGCTCTAACAATGTTCTATTGTTCCAAATGGTACATTTTCTGTAAAACAAAATTGATTTAATTATACTAAACATTATCACTAAATATATAGAAATATATTTCAGTAAAAAATTACAGACTTTATATTATTAAAAATGAACTAATAGTTTTTAGCACTTTTTTAGCAGTTATTACATTTTTAGCAAAGATTACTAAAAAAATTTTATACTAGGTTCAGCAAATACGTTAGCAAAAATAAAGTAATCTAATAATATAAGCCATTGATCGCTTGTCAATATATCTGTAACGGTATGGCTAAAAAGCCCACTGGAGGGCGCCCTAAATTAACAATAAATTATTATTACAGTAGTGCCTCATATAACGTACTTAATCCGTTCCAGGTGCACGTCCGTTAAGTGAAAAGTCCGTTATACGAAACGCATTTTCCCATAGAAATGCATGTTAAAACATATAATTCGTTCCGCAGCATAAAATAACTGTACCATAAAAAAATGAAAATGGAGCAGTCACCAATTATGCCGGGTAGTCAGATGTTGTGAGGAGGTAGAGGAACACTTTTTTCACACATTCATACAGATACAGAGTTTTTACACATTGCAGCAGATATCTTTTTACTGTTTTTTAATCGGAGTCAGATTTAGAAGAGACTACCAGAGCTTGCAGGGTCAATTCCTCTTGTTCCATCCTTTGTTTTTGGTAGCTGGCTTTTTGAAAAACATGTCCAAGGTGGTCTGTTTCTCTCTCTCTTCTTCAACATCTGTCGGAAATGACGGGCAGGAGTGTCATTGTAGAGATCATTGATCTTGCTGGCCTCAGATCTGTTTGGATAATAAGCGTTGGTAAACTGTTGAACCTCTCCCATTTTGACAAAGAAGTTTTTGTCAACTTTCACTCCTCCTGAGGATTTCTTGCTTTGTTTCAATTGAAATCACCTTTCTGTTCTTTTTAGAAGCCATGATTTGCACAACACTTGAATAAATGTACATACCCTGCACTGAGGTACCGTACTGTACAGTACGTAATAAACAACGGAGCAAGCCGAATCCCAATGGCAGCTCTGTACTTCAGATATACTAAAAATTTATTCTAATAATACTAATATATTATAAAAATAGCAGATTGTCATTGGCAACGGAAAAAGAGTGGAAACATCATTTGCACTTGTTCGCAGAAAGTCCGTTGTTCGCAGCGTCCGTTATTCGAGGAGTACGTTATACGAGGCACCACTGTATTTGAAATAGGAATTTATTATTGATATGAATTTATTATTTATACTACGGAATGACATCGCTATTGCTAGAATGCCTTTCTTGTGGGGGAGAGGTTAATCCTTAACCCTCTCAACAGTATTTGTTGATCTCTCTAAAGGTTTGGACAGTGTCGACCTATCAATTCTTGAAAATTAATTTAAAAATAGAAGACTGAGAGGAACACAGTTGTCCTGGCTATTATCCTATTTATCAAATCGTAAATATTATGTAAAGATACTGTACATGAATACTGTAATTCTATTTCAAATTCTTTTATATCTAACAAATGCGTCTCTGAAAAGTCCTTTTTAAGTCCCTTATGGTTTAATATTTATGTGAACGACCTTCTTGAATTTTTACCAGAAGCCAACGTTATAATGTATGCGGGTGATATCGCAATATCGTACTCCGACCTGAATACAAGAGTTATTCAAGACAACTTAAATAATATATTATAGAAATTAACTGAGTATTCGAATATTAATAAATAACCTGTGTATTAACACAGATAAGACTAAATTTCCGTATTTTGCCAACAAGAATAAGGATATAAACGATGATCTATTGCAAATTATGACAAATAGTCAGAAAATCAGTCCAGTTAATAATATACAGTACCTAGGTATTAAGATAGACGACAAATTTCGATGAAATCTGCATATGATCTTACTTCGGCGTAGGTTAAATTCTCAGGAATAATAAAATTTAAGTTTTAATTTGATTAAACGTCAATATCACATTTGAAACAAAACTTTGGTAAAAGTTTTCTAATTGGGTTCCGATTCATATTACAATTTAAATAAACTGCAAATACAGCAAAACCGTTTTATCAGATCAATTCATAAGTTGAACTATAACGATTGTTTCTGTCTATTATCCTTAAAATAAAATAGATAAAATATCGACCTTATGTAAGAAATAAATACTGTTGGATGGCGTCCTAAGCGAAAAAAACAAACTATTTTTTCTCCTTTTCAATCAGAAAATATCGTAGACCAACAAAATACAGTTGTGGGTAGCCTGAGGTAGGACGGAGTCGTGCCTCGTTTTGATAGGCAACAGTTGGGTGAGAACTGCCCACTGGTCAGTGGATGGCTTGTTTATGTGCTTTGTCTATCCCGGAAAGTCGGGACTCTTTTGTCAGGTCGAGTGGAGGGGGTGAGAGGGGTCGTCGGTAAAGTGTGAGCGATACTCGAAATAAAGACGACTTTTAACAACAAAACAACATTTATTGAGACGATAACATAACTAACATAAATACATTGAGCTTATCTCGAGCGGACAGTAGATGGAAACGCGCCGAGAGAGAGTTTACATTAATGGGTATCATACCTCTACGAGGAGGGGATCGGACGACGGGACGTTTTCTAACCGGATCGGACAAGTTGTCTTGAGGAACGGACGGCGGCGATGAGGATCGGCACGGGTTTCCCCGATCATGAACGGTGATGACGGACCGACCGCCTTTTCTCGTCGTCTCCCCTCTTTTATCCCTCTCGTCACGTTACTGGGGTTTCACCAATCGGCGATTTTTAGGATAAGTTCCTTATGAATCATTTTTTCGGTTTCTCGAGAGATAGGAAACGGCTCCGTGAGAAGGAAATGTGTATATCCTTTTTCGTAAAATTTCGAAAAATGAAGTTTTTCTTTGTTTAACTTTAATAAAAATATTTAATTTAATTGGAGCTCTTTTATTTAATTTTATTTTATTCGGTCCGACCCTACACAGTTGCTGAATGAAAAATAATTATTTGTTACCAGAAATCAAACTAGCAATGAGCCAAACAGCAACTTTATTTCAATTGGAAATTTTTTCGAATGATCTGGCTAATGACAATTTTTTTGTTTTGTATTAAACACTTTGAAAGAAGCTGACTGGCCAAGATGTATTTTTAAATAAATAAATAAATAATTGAAAGGCTATCACAATATTATGAAGTGTTTTCACAGAACAAGAAACACTATGCCGAGTAGAGACAACGGATTTCACAAATTAAAGGAAGTATTTGAATTTAAAACAAAATACAGTATTGTCGTTTTTCATTTGACACCACTGAAAATTTAATTTTGTTTTTTCAGTTTTTGTTGTGTTTTGACTTGCGTAATATGTTTTAAGAAGTATTACCCCATCGAATTACAAGTAGAAGAGGAAGACAGAATGGGATGAGCAAGAATAGGATTGGAATTATTGGCGTGTTATGTAGAATAATGGCTTAATCATCTTAAGATTCTGAAGAAATTTATATATAGGAGGACTGCCATCATTTGTAACGAAATTGAACTGCTCTTAATAACATACATTCCCAAAATAAAGATTCTTCTGATGATTTGGCCCTATTTGGAGTGAAAATACTGTTTATATATACTGTACATTCAAAAATTGGAAGAATAGAAAACAAGTCGTGAAAACATCACAGATTTTTACTTTTCCGGATGTTATACATTGAATATAATGTGGAAATTACGACGACTGGTCGAAAAATGACTTTCAAGATGTTTTACATTTTTGAACTGAGAGGACCTTCAAACGTCGAAAAATGCAAAATAATTCGGATTTTTTTTCCCTGTGTGTATGGATGTTTGAGTGTGTGACACAATTTCGTTCACTCGGTTTGAAGTTTAATAACTCCTGTGTTTTCTGTCGAAAAATTTCTGAAATTTTTCAGTGAGATTTTTGTGTATTTTCAGTGAATTTTTTGTGTATTGGGGAAATTGATGCTATTAAATTTTTATAGTTACAGCTCGACGGGGTGGACAAATAAAAGGGGATCGTTTGTTATATCTCGAGTAGAGTCGCATTGAATGACAATTTTACTCATTATTATCATTTACAATTTTTTTTATAAAAGCCATCTTTAGTCTCAAAATTAAGCTTTTTGTCACTTTATAATAATTAATTCAATAAAATTTTTAAAATAAAATATAAAAGAAGGCGCCACCAAATTTCGCCAGGAAAGTAAACTCGTAGCTGGATTTTTTAAAACGGTATGGTGATTAATATGCAATATAATTTACCAATTCTCACTTTAACTCTGAAATAAATCATCTACTGTATGTAATAATTTTAAGCGTATAATATTTCTTCTACATAATTTCTATTAACATCATTACAAACAAACGAACTTATACGAAACTCTATAATATTTTGTATTAAATCTATTGAAATACTTTAATTAATTTGTAAAATCCATTGTCTCTATTCTGCATAATGTTGCTTTTTTCGCGAAAGTATCTCATTAACCGCGAAATACTTTCTAGTACTATAGATATGTTTCCCGTTATTTTATTCAATTTATATCTTTATGAAATTTATAGATCAATTCGTTCAATCTTATGAGAATAAATGAAAAGTATTTTTCGATATGTTTTAATGCATAGGCGTACAGTTATTTTCAAAATCTCCTTGCTGAATGCTGCTGCAGAGTGTAATAAGCGTGTGTGAAAGAGTACAAACAAATATTCGGCATCAAGAAAATTATTCCAGGTTTACAAATTTTCAGCGTATTCACCAGTAAAAACTATTTAATTACCGGTATATTTGCCGATACATTTTAAACTGTTTACCAGTAAACCGATATTCCCTATTTATCGGTAGTGCAATTCAGTGGCATGCCGTGACATTTGATGATAGGGAAGCTGTGTTTCTGTAAGAAGCCAAATTCCAGGAGCAATCAGTCAGCGATTGTCTAGGGTCCATTCGTATTCGTTTGTTCGATAAGCCAGTAAAAACCGTAGACTTCTCTAAATGCATTTTTAATTAATAGATTATCTAACGCACTTAATAAATAAGCAAGTTCAATATAATTACCTCTGTTATATTAGATTTAATAGATTCCTTATGCCCTCTAAATTTGATTCGATGACACCTACTAATTTAAATATATTATATCTATTAGCCGTTACTATCTTGTTATAATTTTCAATATTTGTTATATTGTGTACTAATGTTAAATTCTATTCTATTTTGATTTCTAAATTGCTTCAATTTTACGAAAGATTCGATGCGAGATTTACGATTTTCGTGTCTTTTGCCAGCTTTACTAAAATTATTTAAATCTTCAAAGCCATTCTTATTCCACACACTAATTTCGTTTGAAAATAATAGGTAAGGCCAACAAAACAATTTTTGCATTTTTATGCATCCACAAAGCCATTTTACGTCTTCATAAATTTTATCGTAAAAATGTCAAACAAATTCTTTTGCTGACGTATTTATATTTAATTTAAGCATTGGTCTTTCTCTTTTAATAATGTTTTCTTTTTCATTATATGGTCTCGAGCCAAAACTTTTTTAAAATAAATTTTCAATATCACAATTACATTCTAAATTGATAGCCATGATATAAGGGCTAAAATTTAAAATAAAATTATAAAAACTTACTTGTTAAAATAAAATGTGTAATGGATATACAATTATACATACCTGGTACAAAATATTCAATTGTATGAATGTAGTTTTGTGAAGAAACGTACATAAAAATAACATAAAATGTTCTTTGCCTTTTAAATATTAAAACAATCCGCTTAGTTAAAATTGCTCCCTACCAGTGGCTCATGGATAGAATCAGAGGCGGCCTTGGTAGGTGTGCAGTGCGTGCATGCATGCCAAATCCCGAGGGTGCCGATACCCGTTAATGTCAAATGCCTCTTTTTATCACTAGTATATCTCAAAGGAGGAGACAGGGTTGTAAATTTTAAACGTTTCTCACCATAGCTGTAAAAATCTAAATATGTTAAACTTAATAGATTGTCTGTCGTTTATTTTCTAACTAATTCGTTTTAGGACCAGGTGTTGTCTACGGAAATTTCCAAAATTCACAACTTTTCGGTTACTCTCGTTGAACTGGAAAATTTTCTGTCTTTATTACATCTAATATTTCGAAGAAATCAGTCTCCACTGTACTCGGCTAAGATTGATTCGGTTAAGCTTTTGTTTAAGTAAAATTTCGGCTCTTTCATCAGGGTTTCGTTTATGTCCCCAAATCCTTAATCTAGTGTTTCTAAACCTCTAACGAATCGTTGTCCCCTTCAATGTAGTATCGCCCCCTTCANATAATAAACATGCATTTTCTTTAAACCGTTATCACGCAGAGAACACCAAGAAAAAAATAATAAGAATTTAAAAAAAACTAATTACATATATACACCTAGGATTATTTTAACTGAGGAATTTATTTTCATAATTGAAAATTAAGGTAATACAACGCTCGAGCGTTGTTTGTATCACCTGGATTTTCAATTATCAAAAACAAATTACTGATTTAAAAAACTAGTTTCATTGGATTAAAAATAAACATTATGCCGTATATGATATCAAATAGTAATTAGATATGGAATAAGAAATCAAAAAATTATCAAAAATATTTTATCAGATATCATATAAATTAATGTTTCTGAACTTAACTCTCATTTATTTAAATTGTGTTTTTATTGCTTTATTTCACGATAGTTATTTTAAAGAATTTATTATTCACTTCTCTAAAACATTTACTGTATATTTTTTGTAATCAGAAAAATATTCATAATACATTTCTGATTAAAAGAGTTTTGCATTACAGTATTTCAATTTAATTTATTTCTAGTATTGCTTTATCTTCGAAAAATTATATAAATTTCTGTTACTATTTATTCAGTTTTAATTAGGAAATTTATAATTTCTTTTAATGTGTTTAATACATTTCGCATTCTTCTACTAAATTNATCGCCCCTCAACATGGAAAAACGCCCACATGGGGGCGATATCGCCCCCGTTGAGAAACACCGCCCTAATCGCTTAATTATTTAACTACTACTGTACTTAAGTAGAAATAAGTCGAAACCAGTTACTTTGTACTTGAATATTTGTAGTCGCGGGAAAAAAGTATAAAGACGAATTTTTATGACAACGGATACATAAATCGTAAATTTAAGGAAAATAAATTCTAGAGTTTTTTTCTGTACCTCGTGCATCTCTCTCATTCATTAAATTTGGTAGTAAATGATGCTGTCAAAGTATCAGTTAATTTTTTAACATTATACAAGAATTGTACACGTTTTTTTTTCTACATTCCCTTAAAGATGAGATATACGAAATCGTAATATCACTGATTTAACATTGAAATCCGTGAGTAATATAAGATGGGAGAGCTGAATAAAAATATCAAATATTCTAATGGATTTTTTAAACTCCTGTCAACTGTACTATCATAAAAACATAAACCAACCGATAAGAATTTACTAGTAACTTATAAATCTACTTACTCGTGATTCACGTAATCGGGCAAAAGCGGTCAAATATCTAGCGGACAGGCGGCTAACAGCCCAGAATTGGATGCGTTATACATGTAGCATCCACCCAAGGTCCTAGGCTTCCACCGGCTAAACCGGGTGAGGTTGGTGCTCTGTAAAGCGCATGCGCGAATCTGGCTTTTTGGATGCTGGCAATACAGCGCTTCCACTCCGTCACTAATATTCGAATATACAATAGCGATCTTATCTATTTTTACCGTGTAGAATAGAAATTTGTAATAAGATACATAATGCGGTTATAATAAAATATCGTGCGATTATTTTCATATAATTATAATTAATATGTATTTATTTTTTAGCAAATACAAGGGAAGCGGCGCATCCACCACTTCTAATGATGGCACGCCTATGGTGCAATCCTAAGATAATGTTATGTTATGTCTGGCGTCTGGCTGTTACTGCTCTTCTATCGACGTTATCTGTAAACACAATTCTATTTTATTTGTCATTGACTATCATCGTTCTTAAGGTCTAGGTATACCCCCCTTCAGTTCTTTTCTTATCAGAATTGCCTTTTATGAATATTATTTCATAATAATTGTCTTAACTACAAAATTTATATTTTTATTTCATAGATTTATAATTGAAAGTTGTATCGTATTAATTACACACAACAATTTTCAATCAAAGATGTGTCAAATTTATCATAAACTTATTTTATATTATTTTCTTAATTGAAAAAGTTTATAATTATCTTATTAAACAATTTTCATTCAAAAACTTAAATGATTAATTATAAAAAACTTGGTAGTAATATAACTAAAGCTAAAGTACGGGACCGTAACCTCGAACAGAATTGTTAGTAATTATTCAATTAAAAATTTATTGAATCTAGAATCTCTTATTTTATTCGTCTTCCTGCTTGAGAATATTTTTTAACATCTTATTATATTTTAATAATTATTTTAAAAAAACTCTTTATTATATATAAAATAAGTTATTTAAGTAATTTAATTCAGTAAATGCAGTAAATGCAGGTAAATAATCTGTATTTGTAATTATAATAAATCCTAATAAGTATAAAAAAATACATATGTTTGATTATTACATTCATATTTATTTTATATTTTAAGGCATTTTTATATAAATAATTTTAATTCCTAAAAAAACATTAATTATTTTATCTAATTTAATATAACGTTATAATAATCATAAATTAAAAAATACGCAATTTTTAAGTGAAATCTGCACTGTTTATAAAATTGAAAACTAGACTGATAATTATTATTATTTTCTCAACAAACTTTCTTAACTTCTTCGACTTCGCGACATATAAAATAATTGATGAGATTGTGTAATCCTCATAAAATAAATTAAGGTTTTTAAGATGTCAGTTACTAATTACATTTAATTTATACGGGTTTTACTACTTTTAAAACACTTTTAAATTAAAAACATTCTAGAAGAATGATAATGTCATAAATGCTTTAAATGACAAACAATTCAGAAACATAACATCACGAAAGTTTGTAAAATTAATTCCGTATTTTGTAACAAGTTTTTATAACTTGTCTATGAAATTAAATAATGAATTTTTATGTATTTCGAATTATACTTTTCACGATAGTTACGGGTTTGTAAAATTGTGAATTGTTATCCACAGTTACAGTAGTAGCGAATATCATTACAATGCCATTTAATCTAAACACGTTTTAAGCTTATATTTACAATTAATTAATTAATAATATAACAAATAACAAGTTTTTTATTTAAACAACACAAATAAATCAACTATTTTTCTTAAAAAGCAATTGTTGTTATTTTGGAAAAAGTTTATGGTTTTTTTTAACTTTCAATATTAGCTATACAAATAAATAGAAAGAAAGCGTGTTTATTTGTTCCTCACTTATATTTGTTTTATTTATTAATTTACAATCTCCACTATAATAATTTTCCTTTAAAACATAAATTTAATTTATAACCTTTTTAAGAGTATAGTAGAAAAATTTTACTTACTTTTTCTCGAGAGTTTTTTCTTCTGATTTTAAATTCTCCATTATTTTTCCACCAAAGTATTTAAATTTTAACGATATTTTAGTTTTACAAATTATATATAACGCTAGTATTTTCAATACATCTTTATCACAACTAAGAACATCATCATATCAATTACTACGTCCTTGGACTTATAAAAAGCTATTCATAAACATCTTTCCGTGGATATTATTAATATTTATAATGTTAAATACATTTTTTCCACTAGGTTTGTTAATGTATTGTTAATACAGTTCCGAAAAAAATTGGTTTAAAACATTATGAAATTTCTTATCATTATTTTTAATCTTAATTATTGTTATTTGACACGATTTTAATATTATTTTATCTAAAATTTTCACTAAGAATTTCCGATACTCATTTTTAATACAAAAATACGTATTAATAAAAATAGGTTATAATTCTAGTTAAAAAATTTTCTTTCTATTTTTAGCTTTAATATTTTGCTTAAAGTCTGATAGAAAAAAGAAACGTTTTTAAACTTAATTTTAGGTTTAGTAATAAATATTAGTTATATAAATTTAGAGAGATACTATTGAATAACATTTATTGAATATCTAAAAGAAATAGTTTTTCCTTATACTATACTATAAAATGTTTATATGAATTTCTATTGTGTAAAAAACTAAGTGCGTACTCTTGTCCACTCTTCTCTACACGTCTGCAACACAACACAAATTACATTTTTATAATTACTGTAAAATTATAATTTAATGCAAGCAACAATCCTATTATTCTGAATTATCATGTCTTCAAATGTTGTTCTACGAGACGTATGAAAATTTGATGAATTTAAATGCTAAAAAATTTTAAAATGTTTGTAAATGTTTTCATTTAGATTTTAAATTAAAGTGTAAATCAATAAATAAAATTATAACAGCACGAAAACTTCAAAAATAACTTAGAGAGTGTAATGCGAGCAGAGAATGTTAAAATGTGATTCATTTATATGAAGTAAGTAGTCAATAACATATTCTGAAATAAATATTTTTTAATATTACTATTCTGGCTAATTTCTTTCTTTTCATTCTTTCAATTATAATATACCGATTAACTTTAATCTCAAATAGCAAATTTTCAAAAATTTCTTTTAATTTTTGGATAATAAAATTTGTATAAACAAATGTCTAATTCAATCAATGGAAAATATATTATACAAGTTTCGAATTTTAATGTACAGTAAATATATTTCATCCCCACAATCGACATTTATGCTCGGGATTCATGTAACTTTTCAAAGGACAGTTGAAAACTTTAGCAAACTCTGGTGAATTCATTAGAGGGACCAGGACTCTAATCAAAATAAACAAAATTTACAATTATTATTAGTTTAGTATTGTATTTTTTTTAAGCCTTNTCCAAAAATTAATTAATTAATTTTTGGACTTGAGGTAGAATGTAATTTTCTTTCTTAGCTCGACTCCTGTTTTTGGTTTTGTTTTGTTTTGTTTTGTTTTGTTGGTTTTGTTGATTTTCGCTTTAAGATGCTTGTAAAAGGCCAACCTGGCCACAGTCTCGTTTTGAGAAATAAAAAAAATAAAATATATTAGAAAAAAAAACAATATATTTCTTTGGGATTTTCCTGAATTAGATAATGAAGATATGTTCTTCTTTATCTAGAGAAACTTTGGAAATGAATATAAAATGAATGATGCTAAAATAGTTTTTTACATGTCGGAGATTGGTGAAGGTTGAGAAAAAAGCATTTATGTAAGAAATTTCTACTAAATTGATAATTGAACGGAAAGTTGCTTGGCACGAATCAGGCTTTGAAATTGTGAAGTGTTGAACGTGTGAGGATCGTAGGCCCGATTTTGCGCTAATTTAAGGTAATTCTTGATCCTATTTCTCTGTCGCGATCGCTAAGAAAACATCGCACAAAAAAACATTAAATATCACTTTTACTGTCAACAACTTTTCGAGAATTATAACAATCGAGTGTAAAATTAAACAACCTATTGTTAAAGGAGGAGGAAGTCAACCGTCGAACAACAAGTCATTGGAAATTATTTGCTTAATCATAGCTAAGATATTTTGGATATAATTATCTGTGATATTGATCTGGAAAAAATTATAATTTTATTTTATATCAAATAATTACTATAATTACTTTTTCGTTACTACAATATCTGTTAAATGTTAATTATCATACGGATTGAAAACTGTTATTGTTTTTAATGTTATTAAAAATTAAATACTACATTTGCTTTAAACAGTAATATGTTAAAAAATCTGTTTAATATATTCCATATAAAAAACAATAAAAGATGTAAAAAAATAGAATTTAACAATCTATATAAATAAAAATGTAAATGTTCGTATGTTCAAAATTTTAAACCTCCGACAGTTCTTAACCGATTGCTTTGAAATTTTGACACAACTTTGCATTCTAATACGCACGTTTTTATGTTATGTAGATGTTGAAATTCCACCTCCACGGGGGAGAGGGACAAAATTAAGGCTTACAGTGAAGAACTCTGCTTGTATTATACTATTTTNATATAAAAAAAACAATAAAAGATGTAAAAAAATTGAATTTAACAATCTATATAAATAAAAATGTAAATGTTCGTTTGTTCAAAATTTTAAATTTACGACAGTTCTTAACCGATTGCTTTGAAATTTTGAAACAACGTTGCATTCTAACACGCGCGTGTTTTTATATTACATAGATGTCGAAATTCCATCATCCACGGATGTTAGGAACAAAATTAAGGCTTACAGTGAAGAACTCGGCTTCTATTAAACTATTTTATATGCGGTTTTTTTTGCGTTTTTGATTGCGTTTTAATAGGGTACGTCAAGAGAATGTACACTAAGAAGGAATTTTTCGAAATTCCCTTCGCCGGGGAGTTTATACATTTATAGTACATACATTTGAGCCACAGCAACGCGTGGCCAGGTATAGCTAGTGTTAAATAAATAAAGGCGATGCACGAGAGTTGTGCCCACCAGTGGCCAACCGGTCTTTGTACCCTGAACACTGGGTGTTCTGTTGTTGGTTCGCGCCTCGCTCAAGCAGGTTGGCCACGTGAAGTTTTCCAAATTTCCTCCACGTCTGTAACGCCAGTTTCCTTTAAAACGCCAGTTTCTCGGAAGACATTCCCTAGGCAGATCGCCCAAGTGTTGCGTTGTCATAAATTAAACAAACAAACAAACAATGCACGAGGGAGGAGTTTTGGATGTTAATCTAAAACCAGATTTCTTGTTATTGTTTCATTCGAATCTAGAAAAATAGCGAATTGATTGACAAGGTAAGTGGACAAACGAAATTCTCTCTCGAGTACAGAATTTAGACTAAGCTATTATTGACTTACAAGCTCGAACGTTTTAGAGAAGGTTTAACTTCAGTGTTTCTCTGTCAGAATATTAAACATCGTATTACAGAATTCAATTCAAATGAAAGCTTTCAATGTTTTATGAGATGTAACAATTTATTTTTTTTGAATTTTTCTGAATTAGATAATGAAGATATGTTCTTCTTTGTCTAGAGAAACTTTGGAAATGAGTATAAAATGAATAATGATAAAATAGTTTTTTAATGTCGGAAATTGGTGAAGATTGAGAAAAAAGTATTTATATAAGTTTTTACTAAATCGATGATTGAACAGAAAGTTGCATGGCACAAATCAGGCTTTGAAATTGTGAAGTGTTGGATGTGTGAGGATCGTAGGTCCGATTTTGCGTTAATTTAAGGAAATTCTTTATCCTATTTCTTTGTCTATGAAAACATCGCACAGAAAACGGACTGAATATCACTTTTATCATCAACAACTTTTCGGGAATTATAACAATCAAGTATAAAATTAAACAACCTATTTTTAATGGAGGATTAAGTCAACCTTCGAACAAGTAAATAAAAGGCATTGTACAAGTTTCGAGCCTAATATGATCATGATAGCTTCACTTAAGCGACATCTTTACATCATCGATAGACACCTCTGACCTCACATCTGCAGATTCGTCACTAAACAATAGATCACCTGATCATTTGTCCAGACCAAAAAACGAATACAAGGACGAAGCACCCGCACTCCGGGGCGTTCGTCCCTGAGAGCATAGAATAGCTCTATTCACCAGGCACTCGTCGGCTATACCCAGTGGACACCATACAGCAGGTGAACATCTCCAGCCACCCTGTTCCCAACAGATTTTCCAGACTTCCCTAGGAAGGCGATCACAAGACGGACTCCACGGCAGAATAAGAAGACTCCTGTCTCTTCACATCTGAAACAGCCTAAAGCGGACTTTCCCATAGAAGACAACAGCTAGACCTGTCAGCACTTGTGCAGTTTAGGGGGTACGGCTGTTTGAGCGGTTTCTTTCATGAAATTAACCGATTCTAGACTAATTTGATTCAAACATTTCCAAAACACGTATAATTTTTTTGGAGTAATCCATATAAAATATGCTATAAAAATTGTAGAAATACTTAACAAGTGTGCACCGTTCGAAGACCCCTTGCTTAAGCTTGTTTTATATTGGGGGCGGCACATCGGACGACGGACGTGTACGAAGCGTGTCACGTGACATTTGTCGGTGCTCTTCGGTCACGTGACTAATCTCTGACGTGTTTCCTAATAACACCGTTTTTGCAAAGAATTCGCTGAACTTTGGAGACATCATTAATAGAAATATTAAAACATCATTCCATTTGAAATATGAATTAAAATCAATTTATAATAAATAACGCATAATAATGCAATATATAACCAATAATTTTGCTGTGCTTTTAAGTGGCCTAATCTCAGGTCTTAAACAAAATTTAATTATATTTACTTACATCAAGACATTAGACATCTTATGTCGCATCTGACTAATATTCATCATCATAACATATATCATGATAGAGTTATTGTCGATAGCGAGCGGTTTTATCTTTGTTGTTTCATATAGTCAATGATAAGTCGTTTCTAATTACAATAAAAATACTATAGTATATTATGATGTATCACGTGATGTCTGCAAAGTTTAGAGGATTCTCCGCAAAAAAATAAGTTATGAGGAAACACATCAGAGATTAGTCACGTGACCGAATAGCACCGACAAATGTCACGTGACACGCTTCGTACGTGTACGTCGTTTGATGTGCCGCCCCCCAAACTAAAACAAGCTTAAGCAAGAGGTCTTCGAACAGCGCACACTCGTTAAGTATTCCTAGAATTTTTATAGCATAATTTATATCGATTATTTCAAAAAAATTATACGTGTTTTGGAAATGTTTGAATCAAATAATCTAGAATCGGTTAATTTCATGGAAGAAATTGCTCAAACAGTCGTACCCCCTAAACTGCACAAGTGCCGGCGGGGCACTGGCTCGCCGTTAATCATCTTTATATCTCACAGAGGTATTTAGTTAGAAAGTTTGTAACTCTCTCTCTCCGTGAAAGTACCTAAACCGGGAACGCCTACGAGCGATACGTTCACGCGTAGTATTTAATTGTGTTTTTATCCGCTTCTTGCAACCTTAGATTTAGATTTTTATATTAAACTTTTGTCGTATTTGTTAATTTCGCTGCCTGTCTTACGCGAACGTCGGACAGCCTGTTGACTTATTCACCGACCTCCCCACTCACCGATCGAATCAGCCCTCCTACTCTACGTTTATTTACAAATCGCGAGTTAGGACGAGACGTTTAACCCTATCCTATCTGGTGTCAACATACTGACGTTGGCCCTGCCATCCCGCCGACAATTTATTGAAGACGTATTTGACGACAACGTGAGTGGTTTCACCAAACCGTCGCCGAATAAGCGGTCTTATGTTGTTGTTGTTGGTTAAGTTAATTAATCCGGTTATGGTATTGTTCTCAAAAGGTACATTCTGGGGCTAATGCCCCGCTCATCATTGTCGGCTCTGTCCTTTACCCTAAGAATGGGTTATGTGTATTATTTATATTCCTTTATGTATTACTCACTGAACTTACTTTAATTGTCGGGTCCTACACTTACGTTGGAAACTCTAATTATGCAATTGTTCGGCATTNAATAATTTTAATTCCTAAAAAAACATTAATTATTTTATCTAATTTAATATAACGTTATAATAATCATAAATTAAAAAATACGCAATTTTTAAGTGAAATCTGCACTGTTTATAAAATTGAAAACTAGACTGATAATTATTATTATTTTCTCAACAAACTTTCTTAACTTCTTCGACTTCGCGACATATAAAATAATTGATGAGATTGTGTAATCCTCATAAAATAAATTAAGGTTTTTAAGATGTCAGTTACTAATTACATTTAATTTATACGGGTTTTACTACTTTTAAAACACTTTTAAATTAAAAACATTCTAGAAGAATGATAATGTCATAAATGCTTTAAATGACAAACAATTCAGAAACATAACATCACGAAAGTTTGTAAAATTAATTCCGTATTTTGTAACAAGTTTTTATAACTTGTCTATGAAATTAAATAATGAATTTTTATGTATTTCGAATTATACTTTTCACGATAGTTACGGGTTTGTAAAATTGTGAATTGTTATCCACAGTTACAGTAGTAGCGAATATCATTACAATGCCATTTAATCTAAACACGTTTTAAGCTTATATTTACAATTAATTAATTAATAATATAACAAATAACAAGTTTTTTATTTAAACAACACAAATAAATCAACTATTTTTCTTAAAAAGCAATTGTTGTTATTTTGGAAAAAGTTTATGGTTTTTTTTTAACTTTCAATATTAGCTATACAAATAAATAGAAAGAAAGCGTGTTTATTTGTTCCTCACTTATATTTGTTTTATTTATTAATTTACAATCTCCACTATAATAATTTTCCTTTAAAACATAAATTTAATTTATAACCTTTTTAAGAGTATAGCAGAAAAATTTTACTTACTTTTTCTCGAGAGTTTTTTCTTCTGATTTTAAATTCTCCATTATTTTTCCACCAAAGTATTTAAATTTTAACGATATTTTAGTTTTACAAATTATATAAAACGCTAGTATTTTCGATGCATCTTTATCGCAAGTAAGAACATCATCATATTAATTAGTACGTCCTTGGACTTATGAAAAGCTATTCATAAACATCCTTCTGTGGATGTTATTAATATTTATAATGTTAAATACATTTTTCCACTAGGTTTGTTAATGTATTGTTAATACAGTTCCGAAAAAAAATTGGTTTAAAACTTTATGAAATTTGTTATCCTTAGCTTTAATCTTAATTATTGTTCTTTAAAACCATTTTAATATTATTTTAACTAAAATTTTCACAAAGAATTTCCGATACACATTTTTGATACAAAAATACGTATTAATAAAATACGTATTTTTGTATCAAAAATGTGGTTATAATTCGAATGTTAAAGAATTTTTTTCTATTTTTAGTTTTAATATTTTGCTTAAAGTATGATAGAAGGAACAAATGTTTTCAAACTTAATTTTATGTTTAGTAATAAATATTAGTTATATAAATTTAGAGAGATACTATTGAATAACATTTATTGAATATTTAAAAGAAATAGTTTTTCCTTATTCTATACTATAAAATGTTTATATGAATTTATATTGTGTAAAAAACTAAGTGCGTACTCTTGTCCACTCTTCTCTATACGTCTTGAACACAACACAAATTACATTTTTATAATTACTGTAAAATTATAATTTAATGCAAGCAACAATCCTATTATTCTGAATTATCATGTCTTTAAATGTTGTTCTACGAGACGTATGAAAATTTGATGAATTTAAATGCTAAAAAATTTTAAAATGTTTGTAAATGTTTTCATTTAGATTTTAAATTAAAGTGTAAATCAATAAATAAAATTATAACAGCACGAAAACTTCAAAAATAACTTAGAGAGTGTAATGCGAGCAGAGAATGTTAAAATGTGATTCATTTATATGAAGTAANAAATATTAGTTATATAAATTTAGAGAGATACTATTGAATAACATTTATTGAATATCTAAAAGAAATAGTTTTTCCTTATACTATACTATAAAATGTTTATATGAATTTCTATTGTGTAAAAAACTAAGTGCGTACTCTTGTCCACTCTTCTCTACACGTCTGCAACACAACACAAATTACATTTTTATAATTACTGTAAAATTATAATTTAATGCAAGCAACAATCCTATTATTCTGAATTATCATGTCTTCAAATGTTGTTCTCCAAAACGTATGAAAATTTGATGAATTTAAATGCTAAAAAGTTTCAAAATGTTTGTAAATGTTTTCATTTAGGTTCCTTTTATGATTTTAAATTAAAGTGTAAATGAATAAATAAAATTATAACAGCACGAAAACTTCAAAAATAGAACAATTTAAAGATTGTAATGTGAGCGGCGAATGTTAAAATGTGAGTGATTCATTTATATAAAGTAAGTAGTCAATAACATATTCTGATATATTTTTTAATATTACTATTCTGGCTTATTTCTTTCTTTTCGTTCTTTCAATTATAATATAAAGATTAACTTTAATCTCAAATAGCAAATTTTCAAAAATTTCTTTTAATTTTTGGATAATAAAATTTGTATAAACAAATGTCTAATTCAATCAATGGAAAATATATTATACAAGTTTCGAATTTTAATGTAGAGTAAATATATTTCATCCCCACAATCGACATTTATGCTCGGGATTCATGTAACTTTTCAAAGGACAGTTGAAAACTTTAGCAAACTCTGGTGAATTCATTAGAGGGACCAGGACTCTAATCAAAATAAACAAAATTTACAATTATTATTAGTTTAGTATTGTATTTTTTTATAGCCTTATCCATGATAAAAGTCTCTGTCAAAAATTTAATAATTAACCTTAATTTTATTTTAAGCATTTCAATGTTCATTATCTCTAGGTTTTGCTTTCTATCACGATAAAGATTGCTTATTTTTCTATTATTACCTATATTTTCCAGGGCTATGTAGATCATCTTCAAAAGTTTGTTTCATGGATTCGATTGCCTCACACCAAACCTTCATATAAAATAAAATATTTACAAAAAGTTTCTTATTGGAATTAATATCTTTTGAATTGTTTTTGGCAAATCAAAATTCTATAGTGTTTTTATTTTTGTTTACTTATATTCCAGATATTTATCAGAATAGCAATAAGTTTTTTATAAAACAAAGCACATTAAGCAATATTAACTTATTTTTAATCAGATTTCAAATGTATGAATTAACCTGAGCATATCCAATGAAAAACATTTGTTTGTTTGTAAAGTCGAGACCAGGAAGATGAGGTTCTTCTCCATGGCGTTTAAGATATTTCTCGTAAGCCTGCCATAATTAAATTTTACCAAAACTATTAGGAAAAAATATCTAGAAGTCAAAAAGCATAAACATAAAAAATGATAAAAGCATAAATGATGATTATTACCCGGAAAGCAACAGTGACTCCACTGTTGTCTGCGATATTATCGAAAATTGTTTGATTTCCATCAATCTAAAACCATTATATTTATTTTTTTATGTTTTTGGAAACGAAAGNTAGGCAAGATTATATTACTATTCTGGCTAATTTCTTTCTTTTCATTCTTTCAATTATAATATACCGATTAACTTTAATCTCAAATAGCAAATTTTCAAAAATTTCTTTTAATTTTTGGATAATAAAATTTGTATAAACAAATGTCTAATTCAATCAATGGAAAATATATTATACAAGTTTCGAATTTTAATGTACAGTAAATATATTTCATCCCCACAATCGACATTTATGCTCGGGATTCATGTAACTTTTCAAAGGACAGTTGAAAACTTTAGCAAACTCTGGTGAATTCATTAGAGGGACCAGGACTCTAATCAAAATAAACAAAATTTACAATTATTATTAGTTTAGTATTGTATTTCTTTTATAGCCTTATCCATGATTGAAAGTCTCTGTCAAAAACTAAATGAATTTAATATTGATTTTATTTTAAACATTTCAATGTTTATTGTCTTCTGTTTTTACTTTCGATCATGGTAAAAATTATTGTATTATTCTTACCTATATTTTCCGGGACTATGTCCATCATGTTCGAAAGTTTTTTTCATAGATTCGATTGATTCACACCACATCTATACATAAAATTAAACATTTATAAAAAGTTTGTTATTGGAATTAATATTTTTTGAATTATTTTTGNGGGAAACTGGCCCTTACTTAGGCGTTACAGACGAGGAGAGAACCCAAAAAACTCCACGTGACCAGCCTGTCAGAGCGAGGCGCGAACCCACGACCGAACTCCCACTATTCAGGGTACGAAGACCGCTTGGCTACTGGTGGGCGATAAGCGGTCTAAAGGGAACCTGCTTTGCCCCCCGGCATTTCACAACTGAAACTCGCATTTTTGCACTTTGGGCTTACTTTTTATATTAGCGAGGTTGCAGCCGGAGTTTTCATCTCTAATACATGAATGTCGAACGTCAAGCGCAGCTATTGTAAGTGACGCTCTACGTTCGACATTGACGTATTAGAGATGAAAACTCCGGCCGCAACCTCGCTATTATACTTTTATTTGAAACGTGGTGGAATGATGTGACTTAAAGCAATTTAAATTTGAATGAATTTAAACTTGAACTTAAATTTGAATGAAGGGAGAGGTTTCCAAGAAGGGAAAAAGATTGTTTCATTAGCGTTTGAATAAAGTTAATTTCTAAATCGTTCACATTTAAAATAAAGATAACGAATCCTGTCTATTTTGTATAAATGTTACTGTGAATGACCGATATCTGGCGAATGTCAACATTCTCCGGTGAATGTCAGCATTCACACAATCGTTTCGTGTATGTACGAAATATTTGCTAAATATCATTATTTCTCACTTACACCAGCAAATGTCGACATTCAGCATGCACTGATGGTGAATGTTGGATAAAAATATTTTTATTACGTTGAGACAAAAATGCAACTTTTTAATATGTCAAAATAGGAGAAAGCTTAAGTAACAGCGCATGTAAATAAGCTGTTGAACCTAAAACGAACAGTACGTTCTAAATCATTAAAGAAAATAATACGATAATAAACTTAAACATAAATTATGTGATTTACGGTATACAATCTTATTTATTGCAACAACTTAAATTGTTATGGCACTTTGAATTGCACAAGAGTCCCTTGCTTTTGCAAGTGCATTTATTCGTGAAACACTTTTGCAATGACAGCGTGTATAGCCTTGCCCTCCACTTTTCGAATTAGCTGCAGCTGCTTCTCTCAGCGACATTTCTCGAAAGTAAATCTCATCTATGAAAAGTAACTTTTCTTTACAAATTACGAACTCATTACGGGTATAAAGCTGCTTGAGGGCAGTGGCGTAGCGTGGGTGTCAGCCGCCCGGGCGGAGGAAAATTTTGCCCCCCCTTATTTAGGTATCTCAATTTAAAAGACTAAAATTCAGTTCCGTCACAGAATAAGTAATGAAAAAGTTCGTGCTAGCGTTGCCACCTTTTTAAAATCGCTGACCCGGACGGCAGGTGAGGTTTGTTCGAACAGAAGTTCCTGACGCATGCGTATGTCATTTTGCATTGCGAAGAATAATGTGCAATGCATGCCGGTTCTAAATCAGTTACAGTTAGCGACTAGGAAGACTTGGATAGGAGTAACGCAAGTGACCTAGCTCTATTGAATATTGGAGGTGTATATATACGAATAAATCGTACAAGCAAGAAAAAAAAAGTCGACAGATTGCGCACGATATCCCCGGACGGCGAGTCGATTCCCGGACTGTCCTGATGGTAACACTATTCCGTGCTCATTTCAATCGGTTCGAATCGTACGTAGACGAAAATATGAAATAAAATGGTTCAAATTCTTACAAGATATTATTATTTATTGTGAAATTTTGCCGCCCCCTAAAAAGTGCCGCCCAGGGCGGGTCGCCCCTGCCGCCCCCACTACGCTACGCTACTGCTTGAGGGTTCCATTTTTGATTGCTAATTTATAAAAGTCGGAGTCTTCTATTCCAACAACAACCGCCAACACATTTCGGACATCTATACGGCCACGGTCGACATCAGGAACTTGTATTCGTACGGTATCACCAATTTGAGCAGAAGAAAATTTTCTTTTTGAGATTTTCGTTGCATGCAGTAGAAGATTCTTTTTCGCAGCCGCTCTTTTTATAGAAATAACTTCGTGTTGTTCAGTCAGGGCTTGCTATGAAGACGTGGTGGGTTGCAGCTCCTCTTTAATATTTTCCTTTGGAATATGGTATTCGTTATGGCCACTGCTCAAATTTTCTTGAAAAGTATTAACAATTTTTTCGACCCCCACCAAAGCTTATCTGTGCTTGTCGACATACACCGGCGATTGTTCGAATGTATAACAATATAACCAAATATTTGGTCTTTCACCGACGTATTTTGTATGAGTCGACATTCACCGGAGAATATCAACATTCTCTGATTTCGGTCTTTCACAGTAACATAGATAAGAATCATCTTGTTTGTAAAACCGAGGTTAATCCGTTTAATAGGTAAAACTAGATTAAAATTGATGTACTTCTTTAAACTTTGTATATAGTTAGTTTAAACTTTGTATATAGTTAGTTTAGTTGTATATAGGCATGCTAGGTCAGGATTTTGACACCAATGTATGTCTTACTGACAGACACAGAAACCGATGGTCGCTAAGTTTGTTTTTGCGCGAGCGCAAAAACAAACTTAGCGACCATCGGTTTCTGTGTCTGTCAGAGTCAAGTTCAAAAACACTTCAGAGCCAGTTAAATTTAAAACTTAATGTATATTGAAAATAAACGTATGTACAGTTACAATTAAAGTTCACATATAAGAATTACAAACATTAGATATTAACAAAGTTCAAAGTAATCATCCACTGCAACAGGTCCGTCAGAAAAGCACCTTGCGACGTACAAATTCAAAGTCCACAACAATACAACAAGATGAGGCAATCTTCTAAAACATCTTAGGCGAACTAAGATCAGCGTGAGTTCACTTCCTATGTCCGAAGCAAACTGATCTTCCCGACAGAACTTCAATCCTTTTATAAGGATTGAAACAGCCTTGGATTCCACCAATCAGCATTTACCAGCTCTATAAGACGTCCGCCTATGGTCTGATGTCTTTTAACCAATGAGCGGTCGAGTCTTCAAAATGGTCTGATCGCCGTTTCTATGGCGAAAACAGTCGTTCATAAAAAGGCGGAAAAAGCGTGTGCCAGACGATTTTTATCCCGACAGTCAGTAACTGCGCTGTTTCACAAACCTTCTCCATTCCGAACTCGAGCTCCAGCTGTTTCACAAACCTTCTCCATCCCGAACTGTGTCTGTCAGAAACTGCGCTGTTTCGCAAACCTTCTCCATCCTGACTTCGAGCGCCTATACACGCGCTCGAATTCAGGATGGAGAAGGTTTGTGAAACAGCGAGTGAAAGACGTTGCTTAACGACCAGATCAATATTAACAAATACCCGTTTATTAGATAAGTAAGTTACATGTATATACAGTAGAGCGTCGTTTATCCGAATCAATTGGGGACTGGGGTGGTTCGGATAACTTATTTTTCGGATAACGAATCATGTACGAAAAAATATATTAATTTATCCCATGTTGAAATTTCTCTCCGTTGCGTGTCGCGTCGCGTTGAATTTTCGTCGATGTTAAGCCTAAGGAAGACTATTGTATCGTTAAAAATTATTTTTTTATTTTGTACAAACAAAATAAATATATTGAAAAATATAAAAACAATAAAAAATTATACTCCAGAAGTTAATTTAGTATCAATAACGTAAAATATTTGAGTAGCCCGAGAAATAGCCGAAGATTGCAGCGCCACAGCACTAGCGAAAATTTAAATTTGCCGACTGGAATGCTTTCGGATAACGGACGTTTCGGATAACCAGCTTTCGGATAAACGACGCTCTACTGTATAAGAGTTTATAACGCTTTATAAAGATTTATAACTAGTTTTATAAGGATCTCTACAAAATAGCTATTATCATTAATGTCACAAGTCCCTTACTGTGTGTGTGAGAGAGAGAGTTCATAATTATTCGCAAGTGGATAAATACCTTTCGAAATTTAAGGAGATCCGTTCTTTAGTCGTCGGTGAATCTGAGGATCGGCGAATCGATGATTCAGAGGATTTTGAGTATAATCGTATAGGATGAGGATTATTTGACGATTCGAATTGGATCGTCGGTTATAGCTTGTTATAATTGATAGGATAGCTTGGTTAGGATCGGCACGATCCTAACCAAGCTATACTATCAATTATAACATTAATGTATCCGAGACATTGATGTATCCAGACAGGCGATGTATTCGAGATGAGCGACGAACTTTAGAGACAGCGAGCTCACAATGACAGACAAACTCTATGACAAAAGAACTCTCTGTGTCGTCATCGGACATTTCCTTTTATTTGGTGTCCTGACCTTCTCTTTCTCATGCCTGCCTTTGGTAATGTTGATTTCCTCGTGCAATAATGATTTTTGTGGTTAGGTT